TATTTCGGTTGGATTATATCAAGGATCAGCCTTGAGTTCATATCTTTTTGCTTTAGTCATGGATGTTCTCACTAGACATTTACAAGAGGATGTACCTTGGTGTATGCTTTTTGCTGATGATATTCTTCTTGTCGATAAGACTAGTGAGGGTATTGTGACTTTGGACAATAAAGACATAAAGTCATTAGTAAGAGTACACGTTTTAGATATCTTGAATTTATTGTTCAGAGTGATGGTGAAATAAATGGGGATATTATCAACAGAATTCAAGTTGAATGGTTGAAGTGGATGAATGCTTTGGGCTTGTTGTGCGATAGAAAAGTCCCCCCCTCAAACTTAAGGGAAAATTTTATAAGATGGTGGTGAGACCTGCAATGTTTTATGGTGCCGAATGTTGGCAATTAAAAGAGAAGCATAATACTAAGTTAAGTGTTGTAAAGAAGAGGATGCTTAGGTGGATGAGTGGCTTTACCCTTAGATATAGGATACAAAATGAGCATATACATGAAAAGGTTGGAGTAGCTCCACTGGATGATAAGATTAGAGAAAGTCGCCTTAGATGTTTTGGTCACATTAAACGGAGGCCTTCCGATGATCCTGTTAGGAAAGTTGATGTATTAGATTTGACTTATGTTAAGAAAGGTAGAGGTAGACCTAAAAAGACTTGGTTAGAAAATATTATAAATGATATTTCTTTATTAGATTTAAATGAGAATTTGACTTTTAACAGAACACAATGGTGAAAAAAGATTCAAGTAGCCGATACCACGTAGTGGGACAAAGGCTTGATGTTGTTGTTGTTGTAAGAAAATTAGATTTTCTAGATTGTAAATATTATAAAGTTATTATGATTGAAAATTTATGTACACAATATCGATTATTAATTTTCGACTTTATGATAAAGTGAAAGAAAATAAAAAATAGAGTAAAACATTGTTATAGGATTAGATGGGGGCATTTAAATAATATTAAAAAAAATTGAGAATAAAATTTTAGATCTTAAGATTTTGTATTTGCATGAGGATACTAATGCTATATGGAAAAAAGTGGATTGTAATATTAAGAATATTGCAAAAGATGACATAATAGTAAAAATAGTTGGTGGTGGAACCAAATATGCAATAAAAGATAAAAAGTAAGAAGATTTATTATAAAAATTGATTTAGATGTAAAAATTCTAATAATTAAGAAAGATATAAAGATACATATACGGGATCTAATAAAGCAATATGCAATACAAATATCTTAGCTTTTAATGATTTATATAAAAGAATAAATACTGATAAGGGAGAAAGATATATGTATAAATTAGTCAAATAAAGAGATATAAGTAGTAAGAATTTAGTTCAAGTGAATCGTATTAAGAATGAAGATCAAAAAGTATTTTTCATAGAAGATAATATTTAACAAATGTGAATGATATATTTTGATAAACTTTTTAATGAAGAATGTGAAAAGACGACTGACTTTAGCTACCTTAGCACCCTAAATGAAAATAAAGATTTATGTTTTTATTGGTGTATTAATAAAACTGAAGTTAGAGCAACTTTAAAGAAAATAAAGTATAGAAAAGCTTTTGGACCTGATGATATTCCAATAGAGGTGTAGAAATGCTTAGGAGATTAAGGAATTTCTTGGCTTACTAAAATTTTTAATACTATTTTGAAGACTAAAAAGATGCCGAGTGGAGAATGAGTGTGTTAATTCTTATTTTAAAGAATAAAGGTTATGCATAAGCTTGTGGGAATTATAGAGGAATTAAGTTAATGTGTCATACTTAGCGAGTTATGGAGCGTAGGTTGCGGCGTGATATTAATGTTTCCCAAAATCAATTTAGATTCATGTCGGGTAGGTCTACTATAAAAGCCATATATTTATTGAAAGATTTGATGGAGAAATATAGAGAGAATAAGGAGGATCTACATATAATATTTATTGATTTAGAGAAAGCATGTGAAAAAGTTTAAAGAGAAGTGCTTCAGTTGGATTACATCAAGGATCAGCCTTAAGCCCATATCTTTTTGCTTTAGTCATGGATATCCTCGTAAGACATTTGCAAGAGGATGTACCTTTGTGTATGATTTTTGCTGATGATATTCTTCTTATTGATAAGACTAGAGAGGGAGTTGAAGATAAACTTGAATTATGGAGGTCAACCTTAGAGTCTAAAGGTTTTCGCTTAAGTAAATCTAAAACTGAATATATGGAGTGTAATTTTAGTAGTAATAAACCTAGTGACTGAATTATGACTTTGGGTGATCAAGTCATTAATAAGAGTACAAATTTTAGGTTTGGAGTGATGGTGAAATAGATGGGGATATTATCAGCAAAATTCAAATTGGATGGTTGAAGTGGAGGAATACATCAGGCTTGCTCTGTGATAGAAAATTCCCCCTTAAACTTAAGGAAAAATTCTATAAGATGGTTGTGAGATCTGCAATGCTTTATGGTGCCGAATGTTGGCTATTAAAAGAAAAGCATAATACTAAGTTAAGTGTTGCATAGATGAGGATGCTCAGGTGGATGAGCAACTTTACCCATAAAGATAGGATATGAAATGAGCATATATGTGAAAAGGTTGGAGTAACTCCAATGGAAGATAAGATTAGAGAGATTCGTCACATAAAATGACGGCCTTTCGATGACCCAGATAGGAAAGTGGAGATATTAGATTTGACTAATGTTAAGAAAGATAGAGGTAGACCTAAAAAGACTTGGTTAGAAAATATTATATATGATCTTTTTTTATTAGATTTAAACGAGAATTTGACTTTTAGCATGACACAATGGAGTAAAAGGATTCATGTAGTCGACCCCACATAGTGGGACAAAGGCTTGATGTTGTTGTTGTATATTATTTAAATGATAATTTAAATGTTATTTAAATAGTTATAAGCATTATTTAAATAATCACTTGCATAATATTTAAATATTATGTAAATCATTATAAACAATGTTTAAACAATCATTTGAGTGTTAATTAAACCATATTCAAATTAACATTTAAATATAACACAAATGATTATTTAAATATCATTTAAAGAAGAAAAGGACAAAAAATATCTCATCCAACTCAAGTCCTCACATTATACGTACAGCCATCTAATATATAAGCTCTTACATCTCTCTCACACATATAAAACAAGGGAAAACGATAAAAAAAGAAGCTTATTTCTCATGCAACCTTATGTATAGGTGGCAACCGATATTTTCATAAAAAAAAGCAAACAAAAGAGCTCTCTCTCTCTCTCACATGCTCCGAGATTCCAAAATAAATAAAGAAAAAAAAAAAGAAGTTCCAGGACTTTCTCCCTCTAAAGCTCTCAGTTCTGACACAAAAAAGAAGCATCTTTCCACATCAGGAAGGGATCCAATTCACATTTAAAGAGAGGCCCCCATTTTCTCACTCTCAGGCTAATAGATAGTAACGGCAAGCCTCATGACCCCTTGGTCCTCTCTAGTTCGGCTCACACAAGCAAAAGGGAGGCAAGTTCCCTTCCTCCCTCCCGACACTCCCCCCGACCGAAGTTAAGATTAGAGAGAGTCATCTTAGATGGTTTGGTCACATTAAACGGAGGCCTTCCGATGACCCGGTTAGGAAAGTTGAGGTATTATATTTTACTTATGTTAAGAAAGGTAGAGATAGACCTAAAAAAACTTTTAAAAAATATTAGAAATTATCTTTATTTATTAGATTTAAATGAGAATTTGACTTTTAACATGACACAATGACGAAAAAGGATTTATATAGCTGACCCCACGTAAAGGGACAGTAAAATGCAAGTGATAAGATCGTGCAAGTGATCGATGCCAAAAAGGAGGTCAATGCCAACCCCTTCATGTTAACTCCAATTTCTATGATAACTTCTCTAGTCAAACTAGCCATGGCCCCATCTATAAGAATCCCATTAATCCCACCAAAATATAAACCGTTGAGTTTCATGGGAAACAATGATAATAGACATGTGGAAATTAGCAATGAGGGAGTAAGTTTTGTGGACAAATGTAATTAGGATTAGTAGCATAATTTGAAATAGCAATATTACATGATTACTTTGGTAAGAGAAGTCACAAAACAAGCTAGAGAAGAATAAAGAGGCCAAGAGAAATATTATGTAGAGAGAGAGAGAGAGAGAGAGAGGGAAGTAGAAGAATAAAGATTTTTTATGGTCATAAAATACAATCATGATGTACTTAACGTATGGAAGTGCTAGAAATTTTCAGATGATAAAATAGCCATGCAAAGAGTGTCTTTTGATAAACTTTTAAGTGGGTAATTTTGGGCTTCTCTAAAATGAATCACATTATCACTCCTTTCTTGTGAATGTAGGTTTGTTTTAGCCAAATCATATAAATCTTGGCACCTTCTTGTAGTTCTTGACTCTTTGTTATTACTTTATGAATTTACTATTTTCACTTATGGCAGACATCGCCACATAAGAAATTAGGTGTTTTTTAACATGTGCTTCCCTATTGGACAACTAAACAGCCTATTTAGAAGTGGCTTCCATTTTCCACTTGCAGAAGTAGGAACTTCCACTTCCACTCATGCTGTGAGTATAATTTATTGGAATGAAAGCTAGTGCAAGTACATATATACATATTTGTGAAAATAGTAGTTCTATTGGAATGCAAAATTTCAAGGTCAAACCAGGACAACTTCTCAGCATCAACAGGCAATAACGTGGTTATGCCCACTCATACAAGATCTTTATTGACGCTCTCTATGAATTATAATTGTTCATTGTATAGAAACCCCGAGATCATCTGAGAATCTCTAACTACACTATGTTTGCAAAACAGTAGATGTCAATTATTTTTATAAGAACAGGTCCTTGCTATTTCAACTCAACTTTACCTGTTCATTTTCAAATTGAAATTTATTTTGTTATCATATACTAACCAGCCAAAAATTTCCTGAGTCCAGACTAAAGAAAGCTTTTTGAAATGATATTAATAAAGTAAAAGAATATTAAGCTAAATTAAATTCACACTCTGACCTGATTATACTTGGACAATCTCTCACTACGACATGGAGCTCCAGTTTTGATCTGTACAAGAAGCAATAATAAGAAAAAGACAACAATGGGAAGATAACGAACACTAAACTGAATTCCGATATTAGAAATGCCCATCAGAGTTCATACCTGCCCACTGGCCAGGCCAACGGATAAGTCTGCAATAAAATTGTCTTCTGTTTCACCACTACGGTGGCTCACCATCACCCCCCATCCTGCAGCTTTTGAATCAAGGGCAGCTTTAATTGATTCAGTTACAGTTCCAATTTGGTTTACCTGAAAAAATAACATTTAAAATAAAGGGTTACACAAAGAAGCAACAAGTCTCTGATATGGCGACAGACTCAGCAGGAGGAACAATTATTAGGTCCTCCGACCGGACGTAGAGAAACGTCCGGTCGGCACTAAAATCCGGCAAAAAAACTCTGTATTTGCTCGGTATTGCTAGATATTATTTGGTAATAACGAGGAATACCGCTCTGTGAAGACCAATACTGAGTTATACCGAGCTATACCGAGCAATACCGAATTATACAAAAAAATACCGAGTTTTTCCAAAACTCGGTATTTTTTTGTATAACTCGGTATTGCTCGGTATAGCTCGGTATAACTCGGTATTGGGTCTGTCTTCACATGATGGTATTCTTCGTTATTGTTTGGTATTGCTCGGTATTTCTCATTTTTTGGCGCAATTTTAGCTCCGACCGGACGTAGCTCTACGTCCAGTCGGAGGACCTAATAATTGTTCCAGCAGGAGGGGGCCGGCCTGTCCAGCAACAGCTAAACCAAAGCCCAGATTGGGCGGGTGAGGGTCCTGGAGAAGAAATTCAACCGCCCTTGTGGGGCCCAGAAACATTAAGATTCATTATGAGAGGAGAAAGAATAATGAGGGAATTCGGGAAGAAAAGAATTAGGATTTGAAATTCAATTAGGACAAGAAAATTAATAATGAAAAGGAGGGTTGTTTTAGGGGGGACGGGGGGAATTACCTATGTTGTTTTTGGGGCTATGTGTGACTTGTTTTTTGGGTTGTTGTAGTTTTCTTCTTGAGCGCTTTCTAGTGGCGTTTAGGTGGTTTGGGAGAGCGACCTACCTCTCTAATTATAGATACCTTCTATCTTGTTTTCGTATTGAAGTGCTAATAAAAAATCAGCTACTGTTTCTCAAATTCCAACAGTTTCCACTGTTGCCTTGCTTGTTTTAATTCCAAGACATATCAAATTAGTATCAGAGCAAGGCAAATGGCAGCAAAGAAGATGGATGTTTTGGAAGGAGAGATGAAACAACTCAGGGCCGGAATGGAGGAGAAATATTTTGGAATGGAGGTAAAGTTCACAACTATTGAAGAAAGGCTTTCATCCAGAGAGAACCACTTCAAGAACTTTGAAGATATGAAGAAGAAGATGATCAAGATGCAATCAAAAGTTTCACCAGCGATTCCTAAGGTTGAACCCAAGGGAAAGTAAATTCAAGAGGACGATGACAAAATGGAGAGTGTTTACCCTCATGGACCACCCAGGGGATTTCGGTGGGAGGTGCATCAGGGTATCCCAAAGAAAGAGCAGCAAGAAGGTGGGAGGCCGAACCCTTTGGGAGACCACCCACGCATGGGGGGAGGTTGACCGGAGGAGGCTATGGTTGGGCTAAGCCTTGGGGTCCCAATCCGCCAAGGGAAGAAGGGAGAGAACCACACCATCACTATACGGAAGGAACCAACTAAGGGAGAAACCATTGGGATATGGATGCGAGATCAAGGAAGTTAAAAATGTCAACTTTTTTAAAGGAAAGATGATTAGGGTTGGGTGTATTGGGTCGAGCATTAATTCACTATCAATGGGCTGAGAAAAGGAGAAAAGCTCATGGCAACAGGACTATGTTTAGAGGGCAAAGCCTTAGCTTGGTTTTAGTGACGGGAAGCTAAGTAATTGATCTATTCACGAGGAGAATTTAAGGAATAATTGTTGGAATATTTCCGAGACATTTGGGAAGGATACCTCCACGAAACAGTTCTATGCCTTAACTCAGAAGAGGACAATCATGGAGTATCGGGAGAAATTTGAGCTGCTGTCGTGTAGGATAGGGGGAATTTTTGACGAAGGATTAGAAGGGAATTTCATGAAGGGCCTAAAGGAAGGCATACGAGCAGAGTTCAGGGTGTTGAGACCTAGGACCAGAGGGAGACGATGGAGCTAGCGTAAAGAGTGGAAGAGAAACATCAAAGGGAGAAGGCCAGCCGAAGCAACACCATGGGAGGGGCTTATAAGAACAACTCACGACCCTAGCACCAAGGACTCATACAATGTCGTTTTAGAGGGAAGTGCCAAAGGAGAAGAGCACTGAAGTTCATCCTGGAGGAAATTTCAAGCGCCTTACAGAAGCGAAGGTACAAGACAGGTGAGAAAAAGTGTTATGCTTCAGGTATGATGAGAGATTCACACCGGGACATAGGTGCAAGAATCGAGCACTTCATGTCTTAATGGTCTGTGAGGGGGAAGAGGAGAGCGGGGACGAGCTGGAGGATGTCGTGGAGGAAACATAGCTGTTACATCTAGATGTGGTAGAAGTGTCCTAAAACTCTGCGGTGGGATTGACTCTGAATCACATCAAGAAAGTGAGGGGACAAATCAAAGAGCAACCGATGGTGTTTTTGTGGACAGTAGGGCTACACATAACTTCATCTCGAATTGGGTCGTCGAACGATTGAGGTTGAAGATGCTGAGGACTGAAGGATGTGGGATGATGATGGGGACAATTAAGATAGAGAGGGGTTAGGGGATATGTAAAGGGGTGGTGATGACCTTGCAAGATATTCAGGTGGTGGAAGACTTCCTTCTCTTGGATTTAAGAATTACGGATGTAATTCTGAGAATGAAGTGGCTACAAAACCTAGGGGACATAAATGTGAACTAAAAGGCTTTGACCATAGAGACTTACGTAGAGGGGAGGAAAGTAGTGCTTTGAGGGGATGTTAGTTTATGCAAAACCATAGTGTCACTTGCAACCATGCTCAAGATGATCCAGGGTGTGAACCTAGGTCGCTTGGTGGAGTTATTTAGCATAGAAGCAGTCTAGGAACATGAGGCAAGAGAAATTCTAGTGGGGGTCTAGTAGATTCTACAGTAGTACTAGGATGTGTTTCAGCAACCTATCAAGTTACCACCGCCGCAAGACCACGAGCACGCCATCAATCTAAAAGAGGGTACCTCTCCTATAAGTGTCAGACCATACTGATACCCCTAGATTTAGAAAGATGAGATAGAGAGACTGATTAAGGAGATGATGGAAGTAGGGATCATTAGGCCTTATGTGAGCACATTCTCTAATCTAATTCTATTAGTGAAGAAGAAGGATCACAACTGGAGATTTTGTATGGATTAAGGTTCTAAATAAGGAATAGAGCTAGATAAATTTCTCATCCCGTGATTAATTAACTCTTGGATAAGTTATTTGGAGCAGTGATCTTTTCTAAGATTAACTTGAAGCCTTGATACCATCAAATCAAGATGAAGGCAACTGATGAGCACAAGATGGCCTTAAGAGCATAAGAGGGGCACTATGAGTTCCTGGATATGCCTTTTGGCCTCACCAATGCCTCTGCTACCTTCCAGTCCCTCATGAACCAAGTGTTCCAGCAGCACCTAAGAAAATTTATTTTGGTGTTTTTTTATGACATCTTGATATACAACAGGACAAAAATAGAACACTAGGAACACTTGAAGCGAAGGTAGTACTGGAAACCTTGAGAGATCAGTTGCGTACCAACTGGAACAAGTGCTCATTTGGGAAACCACAGGTGGAGTATTTAGGACATGTTGTGTCTAGAGAGGGAGTGGCAACAAAATAGTTCAAAGTTCGGGCTATAGTGGACTAGCCTTTTCCCAAGAACTTGACAAAGTTGCGTGGATTTTTAGGGCTCACTAGTTACTACCGAAAATTTGCTAAATGATACGGGGCCATTGTGAGGCTTAGCAATTGAAGAATGATGCCTTTAAGTGGGGGGAGGAAGCGACAAGAGCTGAAGAAAGCCATGATCAATGTACCAGTTTTGGTGCTCCCATATTTGGGAAACTGTTTGTAGTTGAGACAGACGCATCTGGTTATGGGTTGGGAGCAATTTTCATGCAAGGTCAGAGACCAATTACATATTTTAACTAAGTGCTTACAGGCAGGGCAAGACTCAAGTTTGTGTAAGAGTAGAGCTAATGACAATTGTTTTGGCTATTCATAAGTTGCAGCCCTATCTGTTGGGGAGATATTTCTTAGTCAGGACAGATCAGAGGAGTCTGAAGTATTTGTTGGAGCAACATATGGTCATTGAGGAGCATCAGAGATTACTATTCAAGTTGATTGGGTATGATTTTGAGATCTAAGACCGACCGGATTTAGAAAACAAAGTAGCAGACACCTTGTCCAGAAGGGTGGAGGAGCCCCAGTTAGCAGCCTTGTCAGTACCCATAATCTTAGAATGGAAAGTATTGAGATAAGAAAGTGAGCAGAATGAAGTGTTGAGGAAGATCAGAGAAGAGTTGCGGAATGACTCGGATAGTCACCCAGGCTATACTGTGAAAGGGGGGAAGTTACTATGCCAGGGGAGGTTTGTGTTACCCTGAACCTCAAGTTACATTCCCAAGCTACTACAAGAATTCTATGGTAGTGAGATAGAGGGGCATGCGGTAGTATAGAAGACATACAGTCGACTATCAATTGAGTTATATTGGACGGGGATGGATCAGGATGTAGAAAATATGGTAGCAAGGTGTGATGTGTGACAAAGGCACAAGTGCTTGATGATTGTACTGGGGGATTGTTGCAACCATTAGCTTTACCTTAGAGGTTTTAGGAGGAAGTGACAATGGACTTCATTGAGGGGTTTTCATGCTAGGAGGGATATTCAACGAACTAATTGTGGTAGACCGACCAAGCAAGTATGTCCATTTCATTTCGTTGAAGCATCCCTAAACCACTATATCAATCGCCACAGTTTTTATCTGAGAGGTAGTGCGCTTACATGGCATTCCATTAGTGATAGTATCAGATAGAGACAAGGTATTCCTTAGTCTTTTTTGGAGGGAGTTATTCAAGATGCAAAGCACGATCTTGAAAAGGAGCACAACATATCACCCACAGACGGATGACCAAACGAAAGTAGTAAACAGGAGCGTGGAGACTTGTATTGTTTTGTGTCTTACACACCCAAATTATGGGCCAAATGGCTAGCATGGATAGAGTATTGGCATAACACATTTTTCTACACAACAATGTGAATAATCCTTTTCAAGAGTGGAGGGATCCACCTCATCTGATATAGTACGGACATAAAACTACAACAATATCCAATGTAGATCAATACTTGGAGGAGAGAGAGGATACTACCAGAAACCAAGGGGCATTTGCTAAAGGCTCAACAATTTATGAAGAGAAAAGCAGATGAACACATACGAGAAGTGCAGTTTGAGCCCGAACAGAGCTTATTTGAAATTGAGACCATACCAATAGAGGGGACTGGCCAAGAGGAGGAATCAGAAGTTATTACCAAGTTACTTCGGGGCTTATGAAGTGATTGAGTGCATTGGAGCAGTAGCCTATCATCTGAGGTTACCAGCATCATCATCAATCCACTAGTTTTCCATGTATCACAACTAAGGCGAATTATCTGGAGATCACACACCCTCTTCCTCATTACCAGCAACTTTAACGGAGGACATATAAGTGATTTTGGAACCTATAGAGATTAATGGAGCACGATAAGGGATGAGGATGACATGAGCAAATGAGGTCCTAATTCGATAGAAGGGACTGCTTGATTATGAAGCTACATAGGAGTCACACGAGACAATCAGGAGATAATTTTTATTCTTCCACCTTGAGTACAAGATGCATTTTGGGAAGGAGAGTATTGATGCGACAACAGATTCAGCAAGAGGGGTCCAGCCGATCCAGCTGGAATCAAACCAAAGCCATAATTGGGTGGGGGCAAGTCCTGAAGCAGAAATTTCGGCCCCAGCTTGTGGGGCCTAGAAACATTAAGATTCATTATGAGAGGAGGATGAATAAGGAGGGAATTAGAGAAGCAAAGAATTAGAATTTGAAATTCAATTAAGAGAGAAAAATTAATTATGGAAAGGAATGTTGTTTTGGGGGAAAAATTGGAGGAGCATAATTAGGATTACCTATGTTATTTTTTGGATTATGTGTGATTTGTTTTTTCAGGTTCCTGTAGTTTTCTTTTTGAGGGCTTCCTAGTGGCATCTATGTGGTTTGGGAGAGCATATCTACCTCTTTAATTGTAAATCTCTTGTATCTTATTTTGTATTCAAGTGTTAGTAAAAAATCAGCCACTATTCCTCAAATTCCTGCAGTTTTCTACTATTTCCTTACTGTTTTTACTTCCAAGGCATATCAGTTTCTCTTACGAAAAGCTGGAAAATAGCTGGTGCAACTGACAATGTAAAATATACACATTTGAATCAAATTCACATTACAAAAATGTTTGATTTCTTGATTGAGGGAATTTAGCTGTTAGTCTGTGCACTTAATTCCTAGGTAGGTGTGCCTCAATAAAACTGAGCATAAAATGCACACCGCTTAAGCAAGTTTACTATTACAGAAATGTTTGATTTCTTGGTTGAGTAAATTTAGCCCTTGGCCTGTGCGTTGAATTCCAAACTTCGTTGATGAGACCATCATGGCCACAAAGGACATACAAAAAGGATGAAGTGATTCCACAAAACAGACTCAATAGATATACAGACATGTTTGGGTATTGAGAACTACAGCAACTGAACAATGGAGAGAGTTACACGCCTCAATAGAAGCAGCAATACTGTCAATTTAACCAAACAGGAAGCCTCCTTAAGAAACCATGGCTTCCAACGAAAACCGCACAATCAGTTGGAAGCAGAAGGGAATTGGAGCTACTTTAAAAAAAAAAAAAAAAAAAAACCAAACGGATAATTTGAAAGTCCACCTAAAAAACTAGTACTCATTCACTGCCACCCATCTTCCAAACCGCTACTTGTAGATCCACTTCATAATACACTACAAGATTAAACTGCTACCGAACTAGCAACATAGTGAATTGCTACAGGATCTATAACCAATACTTCCAAATAGCCGGAAGTAGATGAATCAAACTGCATTTAATCCAAAAACATTATCCAAGCAGAATACTCACTAGGAAAAACATTCAAATCAGCGGCAATAGAAATAGGATTGTGGACACTCGAACTTTTAACATTACATTTTTCAGCTATGATCACATCTTCAGCTACAACGTTTGAGTGAAAAAATCAGAAACTCGAACTTTTAACATTGTTCAGCTTTGCCATCATTGCATATATGGTATGTAAGATGATCATCATAAACTGAGATTATCATCAAATGCGCTAAAATCATGAAATATAAAGAAAGGGTAACCTTATACCTTGTGAGATAAGCAACTAGCCAAAAGAATTTTCTATTTAATCTTATTATATCGCTCAACAAATACTTCCATAGAGAAATAAAAACAGCTAAATTTAAAATACTGAATGCCAGCTTAAGGTAGATCTTACGATATACTATAAAATTTGTTTAGGCTATAAACCAGTCGTCTTCCAGATCATGTAACTTAAAAATGTTCAGACAATAAATTACTAATCAGAAAACAAGATGGCAAATTCTTACTTTTAAAAGTAAACCATTGCAGGCCTTCTTTTGAATTGCCTCAGCAATTCTCATAGGGTTTGTAACCAATAAATCATCTCCTACTAGTTGGATATCCACTGAAGATTGGAGAGATGACCAAGAACTCCAATCATCTTGGTCAAAAGGATCCTCAATGGACACAATAGGAAAGTCTCTAATAAATTCTTTGTACAGTTCACATAAACTCTGAGCTGACAGCACGTGAGCTCCATCATTCGGCTGCTTCTTAAAGTTTAGGTCATAGTTTCCATCCTTTCTAAAAAACTCTGAAGCTGCAACATCCATTCCTATTTTGATCTGCAAAGAGCATACAACTATCAGAACAGAATGGAAAGTAAAGCTCACAATGACATTTACGTGTGCATTTTACCTTTCCAGAGTAACCAGCCTTTTCAATTGCATCCATCAGTAGGACAAGTCCTTCCCGGTTATCCTGAACATTCGGAGCAAAACCACCTTCATCTCCAACATTACATGCATCTTGCCCATATTTTGCCTTAATAATACCCTTCAAAATATGATAAACTGTTACACACAGTAAACAATAAACATCAGAAAAGTAGCATTTCCTAAATGAATGTTTAACGCCATAAACGAACAAGAAGTCACTGATATCAAGTGTGAACAGAGGCGTATCATCAAGTTGGGCTCAAGGATAAATGAGGAGCACGAAGCAAGTTTTAAAAAGGTAGATATGCAACTTTGTCAATGATAATATAGCACAACTGTCTCACTTGCAAATCAAGCAGCAAGGAGCATGGTTACCTTCACTACCCATGCGCAAAGCTTCGGCGAAGGAACTTGCACCTACTGGTAATATCATGAATTCTTGCATTGCTAAATTGTTGCCAGCATGGCTCCCCCCATTTATCACATTGAAAGCTGGGACTGGCATAACAAGATATTTGGTTCCAGATATTTCTTGAATATGTCTGTACAAAGGAACACCTTTGGCTCCGGCACCAGCTCTACAAATACTGAGAGAAACTCCAAGAATGGAATTGGCACCTAGCTTTGACTTATTTGGAGTTCCGTCAAGCTCAAGCATGATTCTATCCACTTCAGCTTGATCCCTGGTGTCATTATTAGAATCACTTAAGTCATAATTCTGTAGAATGTGCACAATAAAATCAACAGTTCAAAGGCAGATCATGCCAGATGAAAAAAAAAAAAGAAAATAGTTGTTGGATTTAAAAAAAAAAACATCAAAATTTATATTAAGGGTATTCTCCATGTAATCATCATCAGTATTGACAGCCTATTCCACTGTTTGAGTTTGTTTTATAAATCACGAGCCGAGGATTTTGCTGGCCACAATGTCAGGGGTGGACAGACCATGGGACCGAATCCAAAAAGAAGGTCACATACTACATTACTTTTAATCAACTATTTTCCCTTCAATTTAGCTATAAATAACTTCCTTTAATCTCTCACAACTTAAATCCAAACATCATATTCATAGGCAATCTCATGTAAAGTAAAAGTCATTTAAAGTGACTGGACAAAAATTGTAGCCCTTGCTAACAAAAAATCAATACATTATTTTACTTGAGCGTTTCGTGCTATGATTTTTCTCTTTCATTTTGATTTCAAAGAAAATGCAAAAGAAGGAAGAGACGGTATAAGTATCAGCGCTTAGCTGACCTAACATCGATCCCAATCAGCTTCGGTCCCAATAACTCATTCACATTCCTGACTGCATTAACCACGCCTTTTCCCCCATACACGCTCTCATCCCCGTCCTTTGGGCATCTCCAACCGAAAACTTCATTTTTCACGGTAAAATAACGCAAAACTCCAAAATGGCGCGGTGATGCTCCAATCAACGCCATTTTAGATGTTTTTGAGAAGATAACGATCGCCCTCCCTTTTGCGCGTTTTTCCGGTTGAGAGCAAAAAATGGCCTGAGTGAACAGTGCGACTACGCACTGTTCATCTGCGATCAATGGCGTAAAAAATGGCGATCGGTTGGAGCAAAACAAGAACGGCAAACAAGTGTTTGCCGTTCGGTTGGAGATGCCCTCCAAAGCCTCAGACCCCCGTCGAAGCTCCACTGGGAACTGCCGATCGGTAAAGATCGGAGGTCACCACATCCACCTCCACCGTAGGATTTCCCCTACTGTCGATGATCTGCCTCGCCTTCACCGATCTCACATTGAACTCCTTCGCTGCGACTCGCGTCGAAGCGGCGGGCGTCGTGAAGCAACGGAACATCGGATGATGGAGACTTTGGAGGTTGATTGAAAGGTAAGGGAAGGAGCTTTTGAGGCAAATGAAGGGAACTGGAGGAGATTGGAAAGAGGGAGGGCCATGCAGGAGAAGGTGGGATGATCGGAGGAGACGACTGGCTATAGTTAACGTGCCATGGCGGTGTCGGTGGCGGAGTTTCTGAGGAGAATTTAGAGTATTTGACTAGCGAGCAAAAGAAGTTGGTGGACTGTGAAAGTGGGATACGCAGGTGGACGTGGATCCAACCTTCTGAAATCGAACGCCGGTTGGGTGCTTAAAACTTCTTATAATAAATATTGAAACTATTCAATTATTATTTAAATATAATAATGATAATATAAATATAAGATAAAAATTTAAATAATTTTTAAAATTAAATTTATTTATTTAAATTAAAATTAATAATTTTTTTTATTTAATTGAAATTCATATTATTCACTCTTATATTTTCTTCTATCAAAAAATCAATGTTATAAAAATAAATTTAAGAATATAATTTTTTAATATCAACTAAAAAGATATATAAACAAAAATATGGGCTTGTTGAAAATTACTCTATTTTTTATTTTATTAATATTTTAATATAAAATAAAAATTATTTTTGGTATTCAAAATAAAAATAAGTATTATTTTATTTTGTAGCTTGGCCATGACTTTTGGGGTGATTTTCATTTAATACTTTGAATGCACATAAAAATGCCTAGAAGTTTTTTTTTTTTTAAATTAAAAATATAAAATAGTTACAAAAATCAAACCAAACATATTTTTTAAAACTCAAAACAAAAACAAAAATAAAAATACATGTCAATCCTAATCAAGCTTAGGATAAAATATAATAGTCCTTAATAACTACCTACATGAGTAAAATTTGACTTTATATGACTTAAAATAATCATAATTGGAGGAATATCACCACTATTTATTTATTTAGAAAAATATACAAAAAAAATTTATTTCATATGTAAGGCATTGCTATGCCCATAACCCCATTCTTAAGTATCTTTCAATTAAAAATACTAAGCAACAATGTTCCAATATTTCCAGCAACTCCATATACTTCTCCATTGTTAATTTCATCTTTTTTTTTTCTATAAATTCCTCCAATTAGAAAAGCAGTTAACACTGACTTTGTAAATCATGGCTAAGTCCTTAATGTTTGAATGATGATGCATTATATGATCCAAGCGATTGTATAATATTTGACTGATTCATGCGTTTTATTTTAAATTGAGGTAATTTTGATGAAGACCTAATCACATGATATTGTATTATATGTATTTCTTATTATAAAATTTGAGTCAGTAGAGTTTATGTTTCACGTCTTAATGGTGAACAAACATTCAGCATGGTAAATAAAAATGATAAGACTAGAGAACGTTTTTTACGTGAAAATATCCGAAAAGAGAAAAAATCATAGGACCTAGCCTAGTTGTAAAATTCAATATATGGTAAGTGATACAAAGATCGTTCTTTCTTCACTATTGAAGAAGAGGAAGAGTATAATGATCAAATGTCCACATATGGACAATCTATGCCCAACAACATGACTAAATTTTTCTAAGAAGGTAGAAAACTGATGTCCATGTCCACATGCGGAAAAACATACCCAACAGTAGGGTGAAATCTTCTTAATATTTTGGAGAAAGTAATGATTTTTTAAGCTGATCGTTGGTGGTGACGGTGGTTGTTAATGGCAATAGCTGGTGGTGGTCGTTGGCGATAGCTAGAAAATGCAAGAGATCTCTCACTAGTTCTCTCTTCTCCTTTTTTCCTCCTCCTTCATGTAAAGAATGAGGGTCTACTTATAGATTTTTTGGGAGTGGCATACTCCATAAATATGGAGATATCTAGGTTAAATTAGGAGTGCTCCATCCAACTATTCATATTGATTCCTTTGATCATAGTGCTTTCATCATGAGTTATTTAAGTGCTTTAATGGTGTCAGAGTTAAATGATCTTGGGATCGTTGGATTTGTCTCATCGAGCTGATCAATTCAATTATAAATATGCCATATTTAGAAATCGTTTGGTTATGAAAAAAAAATGTTTTTAAGATTCCAAGTATGTTGCAGCTCCTTGATTCGAACCCATTCAAACTCAAATCAGAGCGATTTTGGTGTCATCGGGTTTGTCATATTGAAACATTCTATTTGATTGTAAGTTTGCTGAGATCTGAGTTCAAATGATCATATATTAAATTTTGAAGGTTTCTAATTTAAATATGCAAAGAGATTCATGCAGATCAAGATAATTTTTGGTTATGTATTATTTGCCCCCCTATTTTTGAACATCGAAGCTCACGGAATTCAAAAATATATTTTAAATCTTTTGAAATAAGAGTCAGTATATTGATTGAAACTGTTTTATCCAAAATGTTCAAATGATCTCGAATTTATTTATAGAAGCTCCATTATGCTTTATAAAGGTACAATATATATAATTCATTAACAAATACTACTCAACTTTTTTAATTCATTACAAAAAATTTGGGTTTTATTAATTGTATATTAATTTTATAATTCTTAAACTTAATAAAACTACTCTAATCCAACAATATTATCATTCCCAACCTCAAAATCTCAAACGTAAAAATTTGTGGGGATACGGCATCACAAACAAAAATAAAACTTCTTACTCATTCAATACTGCTGATTCCGAGAACACTGAATCCAATAAAAATGCATCGAATTTGAGGCAATATTTCCCCCTGCCATTGCACTGAATCCATAAAATCATGAATGGCTGGAATACGCCAAAACATTAGGCGCAATCTTCGGAAATTAAAAAAATACGCTAAGCAATACCACGCATTCTATGGAATACGCCATGCAATCACGCGCATTCTAAGAATGCGCCAATTAATGTCGCGCATTCTATCAATGCGCCAACTCGTGCAGCGTATACGCCGCTTCTTAAATTCTTTTACAATCAAGCTTCTTCTCCTAAATTACAAGTCTTACAAGCTCTTCCAAAAATTTGGCCCTCCATAAATCCATGTTATTCTCTTTCATGAATTCATATAAGTATTTTTTATAAATTTCCATAACTCTCTCATTTATATTCATGAATCTCTTCTCCTCCCCCTTAAGTATAAATATCCACCCCATGAGATAAAGAAGTTTGCACCACTTCTCATCTTGAATCTTTTTTTTTTGCATTTCTCCTCTTTTTATTCTATATTCATTCTTACATTATAGGCATTCCACAGTCTTAGCTCAAGCTATAGTGCCCCTCTTTGTGCAGTAGTATTTATCTATTTTATTCCTTCTATTCTCTACTTTTTCTTACATTAGAGGCATTCCATTGTCTTGAATATACGGTATCTTCTATCAAGCTCTAGTGGTCCTCTATGTGTAGAAGAAGTTTCAATGAGCGATCATTCTCCTCTCAAACTATCTATGCCAAAAGAAGATCAATTACCCATACACAAAATAATGGTTCAAAGAGATCATACAAGGTAGCAAGGGCTGGTGGCATGATGTCTACAATCACGGGTGATTCTTTGATCATATTCCACAAGAAGTTCCCATTTTTCCAACAATATTGTTATAAAGACTCTTGAAAAATATGATTGGACATAATTTCTTCCATTAGGGTATTTAACCATTTATAAAATGAGTTTACGAGTAGGCTTATGATTCCCTCCTACTCCAGAATTAATTAATATTTCAATAACATGTGGAGTCAAATTATCCCAATTTTATTGTAGAGCCGTGTCAATTGTTATGGGGTTGATTGCCATCTTTAGGGATCGTGGAGTAGTTTTGACATAGAAGTACCTTTTGAGAATAGATCATTTTAGATGTGATGTATATGGTCGCATAACATTTACACCTAAATGGTC